GTTCAAAAGTGATCTCTGATGACTGACAGGAAACAAGAATGCAATGAAACATATTAAAAACATTAAAAATAAAATAAAATTTGTTCAGAAAGTTCCAGAAGGAAAGAGGAAAACATCCAATGGACCGAAGAGGAGGAAAAAGTACAGAGACAGCAAATAAATGAACAAAAAAAAAGAACTAAAATAAAATTATCAACAAACAATGATGAAGAATCAGGCTGAAGATTCAGTGATGGACCACCAACACCATGCTGGGACTTTAGTTTGCCAATGAAGTATGAAAAAACCCTGAAATAATGGATTTAATTTAAAAAATAATGTCAAATGGTCATTTACTTTACGTTTACTTAAAGTCAATCTGTTACATTTATTCAGTTCAGTTTAGCTGAACTAGTTGACATATTTTTTTTATTAAATCCACTTCATCTGAGTGCGTTTCAAATGTTAAAGATCCACACGACTGGAGACAGAACCTCCTGGGACATGTCCACAAGAGGACAACTGAGGACAAATTGAGATGGTAGGTTGGAGGTCAACTCAAAGGTCAAGGGTCAAAATCACAGTATCAGTCTTGGACAAACTGGACGATAGTGAAACATCCAAACCAGAACTTTATGCTGTGAAATCAAAATATTGATATAAAAATATTTGATACTTCAGTCGTTTCAGKTTAAACACRTAACTAAACTATTTAAACCTTGTCTAAATCATCCAGCATGTGTTTTGTTTCCCTGCTCAAACACGCCTGGTTTGCATGAATGGATGATTGACAGGTTTCTACAGAACATGAAGAGCGGACAGCAGAGTTTTACAGGCGTCATTCGTTGTTGGTGGGAACTACTTTTTCTTCCGCCTGGGCAATACGTAAACACGGCAGCTCTCGGTCTGATGTTACATGCTCAGTATTTTCATGTTAATATGTTCATGTGATGTAAAATAATAATAATAATAATAATAATAATAATACATTTTATTTGAAGGCGCCTTTCATGGCACTCAAGGACACCGTACAATGCAATAAAACAAAAAGAATAAAGCAAAGAATAAAATAACAATAAAACGTAATCACTTACACAACAAATAACAAATAAAAACATAAACATCCTAAGAAAAATAGGGATAATGAGAGATGTTGATTAAACTGAATAAACCGTTGGCGGGTGAGTGAGTTGGATGGAGGAGGACCTGAGAGTGTAGGAAGGTGTGTTAATGTGGAGAAGTTCTGTGAGATACTGAGGGCCACGATTATTGAGGGCTTTGAAGGTGAGGAGCAAGATTTTATTGGAAATACAAAATTTGACAGGGAGCCAGWGGACAGGTGTTAAATGACTGCTGGAAGGRGTTCTGGAGATGATACGAGCTGCTGAGTTTTGGACCAGTTGTAGTTTATGGATGGATTTTGCTGGTAAACCGAACAGTAAAGAGTTGCAATAACCTAGCCGTGATGTGACCACAGTGTGAACCAGAATAGCACTGCTGCTGGGTGAGAGGGATGGACGGAGACGAGCAATGTTACAGAGGTGAAAGTAGGCTGAACGAGTGACGTCACTGATATGAGATTTAAATGATAATGTGTTGTC